TACATATGTTCTTTTATATAATATAATTATATATACAATATATATGTATATATATTATATATAATTTAAACGTAATATAAGAGGAAAATCTTATCATAATGAAAAAAGAAACTTTGCGTCCAACGGGTTTGGGTCCTGGTGGAGGCAAAGTGTCTTTACTTCATTCTGATCAGATTTTCCTCCTCTGTTACGTTTACGTAATACATAAATTGTTTTAGTCTTATTGTTTACGCGATTCATGCGACATGTTGTTTCTGGGTTTTTCATATTTGTCTATTAAATTATATATATATATATATATATATATATATGATAAAAATATAATAATAATAATATATGTATATAATAATAATATATGTATAATTATTATTATATCTATAATAAAAACTATAAACTAATTATTATATGTTTATCGTCGCTATTTCCATGAACCGACAAATACGAAGATTGCGATTGAAAAATTATTACTTTTTGATGCCAATTTCTGACCTGAAAAATTCGTTGCAGGATTCTTGTATTTATTATTTAAAACATATTAAATAAATTGTAGTTATTAGGTCACAATGTTTATATCAATCTTCTAATTAATTAGTAATTAACTAATTTAAAATAATAATTAAGATTATATTAATTAAGATATTTGTAAAGTTCTTGTGAAAGTTATTTACATAATTGCAGTTTATTTATACGACATTTCGACGGATATTCGTCAGTTCGTGTGAACCATCCCGAGCTCTGCTTACCAAAAATACGCGGTAATCGCGCGATAGTATTAGCATTTGCATACATGAAAACACTTTGGCGATACTTTTGTTTTTTATTTTTGTTTTGTTTTACATTTACAACCAGCGTTAAGCCCACTGAATTGTTTAAATGCTTAAATAATTGAAAACATAAATTATGTGGATTAAATTCTCATATAATTTACAATGAAACTTTATAATGTACGGTATTTTATAAGATTATTTTTTTTAACAGAATAAAATCGGTAACATTTTATTGGAAAAAAAAACTTATTTTACATCTATAGACGTAAGTTAATTTAATATGCTGAATCATTATTAATGGTATAGGCCTATACCTATTATATAATTCTATAAATTAATCAACAAATATCTCATTAATCACATTATCGCAAATAGGCCTATTGAAGTATTATTGAAGTATTATTAATTCTTTATTAAAGCATTATTCGAGCACCTTCATTATTATTATTATTATTATTATTATTATTATTATTATAATTATTATTATTATTTTATGTATTATTTATCAACCATACTAACATTGAAAACATGAATTTTGTGGATAATAATTATTTTTTTAAAAAACTTATAATTTATAAGATTATTTTTTAAAACAGCAGAATAAAATAGATAACA